CTCTTGGCACTCCACCCACCACTCTTGTCACACTCTCACAGACTACATTTCCCATAATCCTTTGCCGGACTCATCATCACTGATTGCCTTCCCCTGTGTCTATTTACCTTATCAATCTCACACTATGAAGGTTGCACTCATCCACACACACATCCCTGAGTATTGCTAGCCTGTAGCGTTTCCAAGTTCCCGTGTTTCCTAGTTTCCCTGTTTCCTTGTCTTCATGTTTTTTTTTTTACCCTGGACTGTTTAGTTGTTTTTGATCGTTTGTTGCCTGCCCTGACCTTCGCCTGTTTTATTGGATTACTCTTTTGTCTCATCCTGGATTGTACCTGTTTGCTGTTGTTTGACCCTGCCTGTTTTGACCACTCTTTGAAATAAAGCTGCATTTGGATCCTCAACTCCGTTGTCACTCCTCCCTACGTTACAGAATACTCAGCCACACCCGGATCCAGCGGCTTTATTGAGAGTCCCAGGCTTATCATGAATCCAGCAGCACAGTTAATTTGTCTCTGTCAGGGAGATCGACCCATTGAGGACTATGTGGAGGACTTTATTGGACTGGCTCATTTAACACCTTTTGACCAGGTATGCCTTATGATATTTTTTCGTGGTGGGCTATCTGAGCCGCTCAGCTCACTCATGCCTTTGCATGATCCTCACTGGACTCTGAAGTTTTACAGTGATCTGGCACACCAACTAAGTGGCTCTGCATTTACTGTGGGTGTTGTGGAGGAGGAACACGGCACTCCTGCAGTATCTGCCACTCCAGAGCCTGGTCCCGCTATGGCTACCAGTTCAGAACTGGCATCCCAAGGGCCTCAGAACTAATTATCACAGAGACTGTTCCCCTGGGCTCAGTGCTCCCTGTAATGGCGGTTGCCATCCTGTGTGTTTGGGCTACTCATTGCTCTGTTACTCCTCCTGAGGCCACCCCAGTCCACGAGTCCGTGCCAGAGCCTGCTTCAGTCCTTGAATCAATTTCAGAGCCTGCTCCAGTCCTTGAGTTCGCTCCAGTTCCCTTGTCACAGCCAGGAGTGCCGTTTCCTGTTCCAATGACTCTAGTGAGTCCAGCACCTCCCGCCGTGGTGGCTTCTGCTGCAGAACCTCTCGAAGCGGCGACGTCCGCTACAGCTCCTCCCGAGGTGGCAACTTGTGCTCCAGAGGCATCGGCGTCTGCCTTTGAATTCTCTGCCGGTCCAGCCGCGGCCAAAGAGGCCGCCTGTGAACCCTCTGATTTGTCTTGTCACGCCCAAGGAAGCCGTCTCTGAACTCTCAACCTGTCCTGTCACGCCCAAGGAGGCTGTCTTCGAGCTCTTCGCCTGTCCAGCCACGGCCAAAGAGGCCGACTGTGAACTCTCTGACTGTCCTGTTTCGGCGACAGAGGCCATTGATAACCTCTCTGTGCTCTGTATTCCAGTTCAGCCTGATCCACCATGGTGGTTCCCTGCTCCATCAGCTCCACCCTGGTGGTCATCTGCTCCACTGTGGCGATCTTTGGTCCCATCTGTTCAGCTGTGGTGGTCATCTACTCCACCGTGGCGATCTTTGGTCCCATCTGTTCAGCTGTGGTGGTCATCTACTCCACTGTGGGGGTCTTCGATCCCATCTTCTCTGCTGTGGTAGTCTTCTGCTCCGCCCTGGTGGTCCTCTGCTCTGCCGGCTCTGTCCCGGCTTCCTGCTCTGCTGGCTCCGCCTTGGCTTCCTGCTCCGCCGGCTCTGCCTCAGTCTCCAGGCCCATGTAAAAACATGTTTTTAATCACAATCTAGTTTTTTTTTTTTAATCGAAAGCACTAAAATAATGTGTGTTTGACAGAAAGTGTGAATATTATATATGTCTGAAAAAAGAAAAGTTCCTTTCATTGTCAGTTTGTATAGTGGATTTAAAGTGGTGTGATTGTATAAGACCCAGCAAAACCAAAGAGAATGATTAGTTAGTTTGTAAGAAACAATTTAATGAAGTTAGAACAGAGATTTCTTTACAGTAAACTATGCTTAGATTCAGGCCCAGGAAGATGGATAGGGGACTCCAGCCACAATCACTGTTTGAGAGTGCAGCCAGTGAAGTTGCACAGGGGAAGTCAGTGAGGGCAGCAGCAAAGCCATGTGGCTTTATATCACTTTATTAGGAAGGCGAGGGTGACAGTGAGTGAGGGCACACCTAGGACAGGATCCCGGCCAGCCAGTAAAGTGTTCACGGCAGAGCAGGAGACCATACTGTCGGAGTTCCTCCTTAGGGCTGCTGACTTATATTATGGGTTAAGTCCCAAAGAGGTAAGATAATAGATTGCTAAATTTGTTATGTTTCATGATTATGAACAGTTTATTTTTAGTTTATGTTGACCTACTGTAGCCTATATGTTTAAATTTTTTAATTTACACAAATGCTTTAATGCAGGTTCTCAAATTTGCCTATGAACTGGCAAAGGCTCACAACTGCCAGCAGCCCAAGTCATGGGATGAGCACGGGATGGGGCTGACTGGTTAGATGGTTTCCTGAACAGGCACCCAAGCCTTTCCCTGAGACAGCCACAAGATTAGCTAGGGCAAAAAGCTTTAATAAAACCAACAATCTGGCAGAGGTATTTCAAAAACGCCATTTCACTGCCAAGCATATCTGGAATATGGATGAGACAGGGGTCACCACTGTCCAGAAACCGGAGAAGGCAAGCGTGGAACACTTGTCACTGTGGCATGTGCAGTGAATGCACTGGAGAATGTAATCCCTCCACACTTTGTGTTTCGCAGGGTAAACCTCAACCCTCATTTCATCAGGGATGCTGTACAGGAACAGCCAACAAATCAGGATGGATACAGGATGAAGATTTTCTAGAGTTCTTATGCCACTTCCAAACCCATACAAGAGCCTCTCCAACACAGATGGTCTTGCTGATCCTCGGCAATCATCACTCCCACATGTCTTTGCGAGGAATTGACTTTTGTCGTGAATCTGGCATTATTCTCCTCTCCTACCCCCCGCACTGTTCCCACAAGTTGCAGCCACTGGACCGCAGTGTGTTTGGCCCTTTCAAGATGGTTTACAGCTTCTCTGACAGCTGGATGAGACATCATCCTGGAACAACCATGTCCATTTACGACATACCAGCAATTGTAAGGGATTCTTTCCCAATGGCTGCCACACCATCAGATATCCAGGCTGGCTTCAGGTGCACAGGCATTTGGCCCTTCAACAGGGACATTTTCAGCGATGCTTATTTTGCACCATCCTGCGTCACTGATCGTCCACACAATCCTGAGACATCAGTCACTGGTCCAGCTTCCACTGTGTCTGTGGCTGGGCAGTTCTCTACCTCCACCGTGCCTGCCACTGCATCCATCTCTGGGACACCCTACATCGCCTTAAACGTACCTACAACTGGGCCTTTCTCCACCACTTACACTGTGCCAAGTTCCATTGCCTTCACCAGGCCTGCTGCTGGAACATCTTCCTTGATCAATGAGGACTTTTCACCTATCTTGGTGAGGCCATTCCCAAAAGCAGGGCCCTGAAAGACAACTAAGACCAGAAAAAGGAGACCGACTGAAATTCTTACAGACACACCTGCCAGGAATTCCCTTGAGGAAGAGCAGGAGATGGCATCTTTGTCCAAAGTAAAACGAAAGATCTTTGCAAAAAAGGAGAAAATGGTAAAGAAAGGAAAGAAATACACAAAATAAAATAAGGATGAGACTGTGGAAGACGAATTTAATTCACCAGAGGAGCAGAACAAAACATCTTCCTCTAATGTAAAGCAAAAGATCTCTGCAGAAAATGAAAAAAGAGGAAAAGAAAGAAGTCTACAAAAGAAAATGTTGAGGAAAGTGAGGAAGAGAAAGAATTCTTCATTGTCTGCCTGGAGAGCTTTTCAAAATCAAAGGAGGTCTGGCTGTCTTGTGTGTCTTGCCATTCTGTGAGTCAGGCTAGAGTTTAACAGTTTCATTATGCCATTGTTTATGGAAATTATTAGTGTTACACATTATGAAGGTAAATACGTTATGCGCAGGCTTTTTTTTGTGCGATCAAATGGGATGAGACCTGGTTGAGCTGCACTAGAGAAGACAACGAGTGCTATCACTATGTCGGAGACACGCTAGCTTTCCCAAGGCAGACAAACTTAGAGTGGGTACAATCATCCGGGTTTAAATCGCGCTCAAATTTATTTGATTTTGACGCAATATTTACACTGAAGCTCGCAGGCGGCTATGGTAAGGGGCATGACATTTCCAAGATCTGTGAGAAGATGGGGGTCAGCTGGTCAGTGCATGTTTTCAGACAGGCTGGTGTCACACCGTCTGGGCCTGGTGCTTTTCTTCTCTTGTTCTTTCTGAAGACCTGGCGCACATCATCCTCACTGATCTGAAACGTAGGAGTGGGGGGGAGGGGGGTTGCAGGAGGTGTTGATGGTTGTGTGGAGAGATGTTCAGAGCGGGTGTGGGGTGTTAGACTGGGAGTTTCAAATCTACAGTAAAACTCATTCAGGTCTTCAGCAAGTTGTTGATTGGCCTCAGTGCTGGGGGATGGTGTCTTGTAGTTGGTGATGTCTTTCAGGCCTTTCCACACTGATGCAGGCTCATTGGCAGAAAACTGGTGTTCTAGTTTTTTAGCGTAGTTCCTCTTGGCCACCCTAATCTCCTTATTCAGTGTGTTTCTGTGAATGTGAAAAATAATGTGTTTTTCGAACAACCTACTGTAGTATGAGAGCCTGTTCTAGTACACCCCCAAAACTAAATCAAGACTTTGTAAAAGAGCATAATAGGACCCCTTTAAAACGTGAATTCACCCAATTAATATTGAGTATCCACATGCTACAAACAAACATGCTTGAGATATAACCATCCGATTGAAAAGTAACACCCATTCACTGCCATTATAAAGCTTGGCAGAAGCAGGACATTTTTTTGTAACTCCGATTGGATTCGTCATATACACCTAGGATGGCTTGAGGGTGATTAAATCATGGGGTAATTTTTATTTCTGGGTGAACTATCCCTTTAATATGACGAGCTGCAGCTCAAAACACATGTTAGATGGAAACACTGTGCTTTATGATGGAGTTTGTAGCTTAATTCACTATATTTGAAATAGTCTGACACTGCAGTTCAGTTGCTGACAGTTCAATAGAAATCAGCTGAAATCATCCAGTCTCTCAGACATTGAAGTGAATGTTACATTCATCAGTATATATTGTAAAAAAATATGATAAATGATTGTTGTATCTGCATGATTATATTCGTTTATATAGAGTAATAGTCAATGTAAAAAGAAGGAGTTTGTAAATTCACTATATTTGAAATAGTCTGACACTGCAGTTCAGTTGCTGACAGTTCAATAGAAATCAGCTGAAATCATCCAGTCTCTCAGACATTGAAGTGAATGTTACATTCATCAGTATATATTGTAAAAAAATATGATAAATGATTGTTGTATCTGCATGATTATATTCGTTTATATAGAGTAATAGTCAATGTAAAAAGAACAAATGGGAGAAGCAGATGAACACAAAACACTTCGTCTCCCTTATATGATCTTACTCCACGCATGTATTAAATGTGCTCAGTTTTCTAGCGGATTTCTTTAACTTCTCAGGTAATATCAATGGTATGACCTATTTCA